CCGGGAGTCCAATTATCCACAGATCAATACAAAGACATTTAGTCTTCTACATTTTCTGTCATACATTGTTAAATTAGGGCACCAACATAACTGAGGATGTGATATCAAAGGGTTAAAATTAGATTTTTTATTTCACTTTCATTTTGTGTTAATTGTATCCATTGTTCTCTCTGATGGTTTGTTTATGTCGGTTATACTGAGACTGTTTCGTAACCACTCAGTAGTTTTGAGGTTTTGGGTTCATCTCCATTAAATTGCGTTTATTAATGTGTTTCCTGTTTTTTCCCATCAGTAAACAAAGAGGAAGAAGAGACACTGCCGCTCTAATCGAGCTATTAAATGTGTGTGAAAGTGTTTTAAAGTGTTTTCTTTCTCCTCCGTACAGCGGTTACTGTGGCAACAAGAGCTGAAGTGACTCAAGCACACTCTCTCACACACACACACAGTTTTTACCTTCATTTCTTCAAAAAGCAGAAAATCTGGAGCATCCTGGGAAATTTACATTAAAAGAAAGTACAAACATTATTTACCATAACCACACATACATACAATAATACAATATAATGTTCCTCAGTGAGAACAGAAACCTGCTCATTGTTCTCTGCAGGTTCTTTGTCTGACAGCGAGGACACAAACACTAAAAACACTTCATCTGCATAAAATGTGTTTGTAACCAAAACTCACGACTTCAGCTCCACATTCAACTGAACCTGTTCGATATTTCACACTAACACACTGCGTTCACACTGGAGTCAATTCAAACATACGTCTCCTCTGTATCACAGCGAGGTCTGACACAGCGCGGTGCAGACGTTACGGTCCGAGCTACCGCTGAATGATAACAGTTCATCACTGATGTAAAGCAACGTTTCCTCACAGTAGAATATTCTCCAGGATTCTTTTTAGGCAAATCCACTACTGTTTGTGGTTCAAGTTTAATTATTAGATTAAACAATTAAGAAGGCTCCTGGTTTGCCAACTCCCCCTGCTGGTTCTTCTGGAGCTCCAAAAAGTTTGAGGGCTTTCTGGATTTGCAGCATTTAAAGGAGGAGACAATAATAATAAACAATAAATAAACAATGAACGTTCTTAAATTAAATACTTTGTCATTTATTGGACTCATTAAAAAGTTGTACACAAATATTTAAGAAAATAAATTACCAAATACTTTAACAGTTAATACAAATAACTTGAAGAGTTCATTAAAATGAAACGCAGTCACATAACTTGAAATACAGAAAAACAAATATAAATACATCAGTTGAACCCGCAGTTACATGAAGGCTTCGATCCGATCCAGCAGCTCCAGACGTTTCATCCAAACCGCTTTTGTCAAGAAAATATCTGTTAAACAGAAAACTACAAAACCGACTGTACAAGAGAAATATTTACAACGTTTCAACAGACGATTGTGACGAGTTCAGGCAGCTGAGTGCAACGAAATCATCAAAACCAGAGAAATATTCGTTTATTTCTCAAAATAAAAACGAGAACACGGAGAATCCCAACAGAGAACTGAGCTCCAGATAAGTTTTATTCTCTCAGACTTTGTTCCTTGCAAAAGCTCTTAAATCCACTGCGTAAAACCACTGTTTTCTTCCAGATTCCTTCATCGTTCCTCATCATGAAGTCTCTTTACGTCCTCTTCGGTATTCTTGAAGAAGTTAAAAATGATTCCATAGTTCCTGAAAGTTTTTTGGAGGTTTGTGGTTTGTTTATTGACCCTGTTGGTGGATGGACAAACTCACCCAAAATCTAAATTTAGAGCCACTGTGAGGAAATAATACAAAGTTTGAGATGAAAAAATAATTTAATATCATGAGAAAAATAAAATAAACCTAATATTTCAAAAATAAATGAATAATTTCACGAGAATAAAGTCTGAATTGTTAAGAGAATACTTAAGATAGTTTCCTATTACTTTGATTGAATATTCAATCTCATAATATCAAATTTTCTCATAAAATTAACATTTTCTTAAAATATTTCTTTCTTTTTCTTGTAATATTAAAACTTGTTCCCCAAAATTCTCTCACAGTGGCTCTTAAACTTTGTTATACTTGAGTTTATTCACTTCACGTCTCTATATTTATGACGTAAACTTCCTCATCGGGAAAACGTCGTCGTTTTTGAAGAACTCTCAGCCAATCAGACGGCTGCCAGAGGTCGTTCCACGTGTGACTCCTTTAGTACGACGGGTTGATGTCCGACGTGATGGAAGAAACAGGTCTGATAAAAGTTTTACTCCCTGTGGTTTCCAGCAGTTAGCGTGTTAGCTTTAGCCCTGTAGCGTGGGAACAGCCACCTTCTGCATCCCCAGCATGGAGTCGTAGAAACAGTCCTCGTTAATCATGGAGGTCAGGCTCTGAACACTGAAGTCTCTCTCCAGGTCCAGAACTTCTCCTCCAGGACTTCGACGCAGACTGGAGGTCCGTCCCGTCTCCTCGTTCCTCCGGTCGCCGCTGTGAGACGCTGCCACTGCTGCTCCTCGCTCGGCCTCCTCCTCCTCGGTGAAGTTTAGCCTCTGCAGCTGAGCCTCCAGCTCGCTGGTGAGGGAGCAGAGTCGGGTCCTCTTCCCTGAGGAGTCGGAGGGGGCGCGGCTGGGCAGCAGGGGCTCCGAGCAGGTCTCTCCCAGGAGGAAGCCGGCGTCGGGTCTGCAGCTCTCCTCCGGCTGACGGTGGGTCGTCCTCTGGCCGTCGGAGCGACAGCGCTGCTGCCTCCTCCTCCAGGAGCCGCTCCTCTCTGCCGTCGACAGCCTGGTCCTCCTCAGGGAGCCGGTGGGCGCTCGGTCTCTGAGGAGGGAGCGAAGAGCTCGTAGCACGCTGGCCTTCGTCTCCAAACCACTGAAACACAAACAGCACGATGCTCAGGCAAACACATTGATTAATCTGTTGATCATAAAACATCAGAAAATTGAGAAAAATGTCCGTCAGTGTCCAAAGAGACGACAATTGATTATCAACAGTTGCAAATTTATTTTCTGTAACTAATCTGAATCTTGATTGATCAACTGATTCTAACCTAAAACCAAGTTCCAGAGAGCTAACGTTATGCTAGCAAGATACAAATTAAAGATTTACGCGAGACCGTGGTATAAATATATTGATTTTAAATATTTTCCAACAATAAAATGAGTTTATTGTTCTGTCATTAATTCTGAAAGATCATTTATAAACTGTAAACGGTGAAACAGTAACAAGCGCTCTGATCTGATTGGTTGTTACCTGCTGCAGAGCTGAAACACCGTCTCCGGTCGGCCCTCCACCTCCGACCTGCTGTGAACCAGCTCCCAGACACACGGGTTCTCTGAGCCTGAAGACACAAGATAGTAGTAATACTGTAATAGTGCATAAATACTCTGTTACAGTCCACCATTCAAAATATGTAAAAGTACCAAAATTAAAAGTACTCGTTTTATAAAATTATAAAAATAATACATATTGTATTATAGGATAATAGGATTCAATATGTGATGAATAAGAACATAATATCTGTCAGGTCAATCTATCAGAGTATTGATTGATCGGTCGCTCACCTGTGATGTTGGCCGGTCTGACTTGAACCGCTGAAACTGGGATTAACCAGCGGAACCTGAAGGGGTCCAGATCAGCTGAGCGGGAGCCGGTCTGTCCGACAGAGAACATTATATTATATTATAAAGAATTATAAAGTACGATATCATACTGACGTTTCCGTCCCTTCAATATAAACTGTGTCTACTTTGTATACTCCATCATATAACTCCATAATGACTTCCTTACACTGATTTAATCCAATAAAATGAAAGTAAAAGGATCAAGTGAAATATTGATGGGGTGTCCAGAGGGTAAAATATTTTAAATGAGAAAAAAATCTAAATTGGTAAATTAAAACATTTATAAATATGGGAACAAAAAACAGAATGGGTTGTTTATTTATTTTTTTTAAACAAAAAACGAAAATGAGTTTCTGTGTTATTCTTGCTGTGTATATATATATATATATATATATCCTTTTGACCTTGTATAAAATAACAGTAATGTGTAATAAACACACTCACCATCCTCTTCTTCAGCTTGGCGCTCTCCCGGTAAACCAGGATGACGGCCCGTTTGAACACTGAGGAATGAAACACAAAGTTAGTCCCAGTGTTCGCTCTCTACTGCTGTCGGCTGCGATCACAGTGCGTCTGTACCCACCGAACAGTGTGAGCTCTGGTTCCTTCCTCAGTCGTCCCAGACTGGGCAGCGGGTTCAACCAAACCACAGAGGAATGGACCAGAAACTCCCCCATCGAGATCTCCGTCACCTGAGGGGAGGGTTTTAAATCGTGGTTAACTGCAGCCCCAATAGTACTGCTTTGGTTTTAGGAAAGGGAGAAAACTGGGTCCGGCTCATTGCGGCCAGAGCTTTTGGGGGTTTTGGGCTGAGAATGTGTTTCATTTTGCGGCAGACAGGCCAGTTTTGGGGCAGTGTAGAGCTTTGATCGGGCCCAAAACATTCTGTGCGAGCCCGAACTGCGGAAGCAGTTCTGGGCCCGAACCCGAATTTCTGCTTAAAATAAATGAATGATTTAAATAGTTCATTAGAAGTTAAAGCAAACTACATGTTGCATAATTTAGTGCCTGATCTATGGCAGCTGTTTTGGGCCCGAACCTGGTGGGTCGGGTTGGGTCCAATCAGGGAGAAGATTAAAGCTCGAGGCCAGAGTCGCCATCCAGTGAACTTCTGGTGCATTATTGATTAGTCACAGTTGGGTCGAACCATTTTTCTTTATATTGTTAAAGCTGCAAAGTTGTTTGTAATAAAAGAGTCAAATAGATGAAGTAATCTCCTTCTTCAGTCCAACAAAAGCAGGACATTGAAACGTATGTATTCTTGGCGTCCAGCTGATGTCAGTGATCAATAACGTCCATGGATCGTCGATCAGTGTGTACGATGTGTCCGTACCTGTTTGTGAGGTCCGCTCTGCTCTGCAGCCAGCTGGTCGAACACAGAGCCGTAATCCTCGTAGATCTTCTGCATCTCATTGATGTGACTCGCCACCTTCTCCATCGCTCTCAGCGCCTCTGTGTGGACAACGAGGGAATTACAGGCATGGAGGAAACATTCACATAAATAACCAGTTTACCAGGGTGAAGTGCTGCTGGTGACCTCCGCGGGTGTGTCGTACCTGTCAGGTGTGCGTGTTCGGGGCTCTCGGGGTCGGTCAGCGACACCAGCTCTCTGAGCAGCAGCGGATACTTCAGGACTCTCTGAACGGGTTTGATCAGGTAGGACTCCAGAGAGGACGAGTGCTGATTGGTCGGATTCCTCGCCTCCAGGAAGTGCTTGAAGGCACCGTCTGTCTTCGCTGTAGGAATGACATCATCATTTAATTATCAATGTCCAGATCAATCATTTCATTTTATTATATTATATTTTGTTTTGTATATTTATTTTTGATTTATTTTGTAGTTGTTTAACCTTTATTTTACTTTACTTGATCTTTTATAACTTTTTCTTTCTTATTAATATTTATTTATATTTTAGACATTTTAATCTGTTTTAAAAAAACAAGATTGTTTAATTTCTACATTATTAAATCCCTAAAGTATGCTGGGACATAGAAACAGGAGACAGATTCAAATTATTTCTAGTTAATGTAAATAAATAAATGTAAATGGAGGATTTGGTTTCGTGCGGCAGATCAAACGTTACCTCTCTCCAGGACTTTCTGCACTTTGATGTGGTTTGCACAGAAGCCGCTGTAGTGCTTGAAGTGGTCGGCGTAGTAAAGGAAAGATCCTCCCAGCGAGAAGAGGAGTTTCTGAGAGGAAAGAGAGAAGAAGGTTTAATAATCAGATTAAATCCACTGAGATGAAAACGTCTGAAGACACTGCTGCATGTGAACCTTGAACTGTCCGGGCGTTTCCAGGGTGCTGAAGTTGGGACAGGAGGCGATTTTCTCTTCCAGCGTTTGAAGGAAAACTCTTTGGAAGTCCAACATCTCGGGCAGACTTCCGAACAACGCCTCCATCTGAGGGAGAGACGCTGCGGTCAGACGACAACAAACTGACTTCTCGTTAAAGCTTTTTATTTTTCATTAATTTACCTCTTCTTTACTGAGGAAGGTCTCCTTCTGCAGAGGAGTCAGGTAGATGTCAAACAGACAAACCAGATCCTGAAAAGAGTTTTATAGAAGGCAAAGAAATTCATTTATTAACACAGTAAAAAGGAATAAAATGTGATAAATGAACTGAATCTACCATCTTTACCAAAATGTTTGGTATTTCTAGTACAATAGAATAACAGAAAAAAGGCGTAATGAGATTGTAGTTATTTAGTAAAAATGAGAATTATAAGCAGGATTTTAATCAGTTCTTTAAAAAATACAGGACACATTTTTGATGCTAATAATTTTGGTTTCCGTTGTATTTTCTAAAAACTTTGTTCTGTTGTCTTATCACATACATCAATACTTCATATTGGGTCAGTGTACTTTTGGATTTTTTGGTTACCATTTATAAATAGTGGAACAAAAAAGGGAAAACGACCCCTTAAGTTTTTTGTTTTGATGTTTCCCATATTTTTGTTTCGAAAATAAAAACAGAAAAAGAAAAACTTGTTTCCTGATTCTGATTTTCTAATTCCAAAACGAAAATCTGTTGGGTGCAAAGTACACAGTATTAGCAGCACTATGAGTTACATTAATACTGCAGTAGTAGTATTAAAGGTGGAAATAAGAGCATTATTAGCTGTATTAGCACTATTCGCAGCATTACTATGAGTTGCAGTGTTACTGACTTTGACGTAGGACTTCTCTGTGTCGACCAGCTCCTGGATGACTTTACGCAGACGCTGACACACACTCAGGTGGGCGGGGCTAGTGGGCTGCAGGCCGACCTCTCTGCTGTACGGGTTCCTTGGAACATCAGCCTCCGCCGCTCGGCCTTCTGGGAAGGTCTGGTACAGGGAGTAGACCCGGTCCACGTTCTGAAAGGGTGGAGGGGGGCAAAATAAAACCACGGTCCAGTAACATTTGGGGCATTTAGATGGTTTTCATGTTGTGTCGCTGCCTCATCGAACAGAAGAACATCAGGAAACTGGTTCAGTTTGACCCTGAAGGAGGACGAGGTTTCAACCAACCAGCCGCCTCGTTCATCATCATAATCTGTGCTGCCAGACTCTAATAAAGTGCTGCAGACAGTCTGATAAATTCAGTGTGCGTTCGCCTGCAGCCACAGCTTTTAATAACAGACCAGGACGCGTCACATTTACAGCACTTTGAACTCATCTCACTGCTCTCTGAGACTCGACGTTCCCTCTCAGGCAGTTTAGATTTAATGCTGTAATGAAGGTGAACAGAGTCCAACCACAACTGCTGTTTAAAAGCACAGCGGAAACTATTCAACGAAACATCACTGATACTGCAGAGGAACACAACAACAAGATAGTTAAAAGATAATAGAGACATATAGATGTTACTTTTATCTTTTAACCATCTTTAATATGTGGTTGTCTTTTCAACATAGATTAGCTTAGCACATAGCATATCTAAGCACAGGAAAGGAAGAAGATGAACAAGGTTCTTACTTAGTGTTGCTCAACGAAGTCCCACCTCTTTATGGACAGTGCAAAAAAGAGGCGGGACTTAGGAAAGGTCAGTTAATGCGCTCCACTCTGCTGGTTTCAGTCTTTCCTTCATTATTATTACTATTTATTACTATCATCAATAAGCTGGAAAAATACCCTTTAAAAGAACTCACACAGTTTTAACTGATCACAGCTAACATGAGTCGGTCACCATGACAACAGACAAACAACAACAACCCACAGTCTGTGTACCAACAGGACGATGCTCTCGTTGGGCCGCTGGCAGTTCAGGCAGCAGCATGTCACCTCGTCCAGCAGCCCCACCAGCCACTCCACCAGGCCCACGCTGGGAAACACCTCCCCTTCCTCCCCTTCCTCCCCTTCCTCCTCCTCCTCCTCCACCTCCTCCTCTAGTATCTCCTCGTCCTCCTCCAGTGGCAGCACCCAGCACAGAGCGCCCATGGTTAGAGAGCACGATGTGGGAGAAGCCTCGGACGGGGTCAGAGGTCGCCTTCGGGAGCCGTTACCACCACCACCGGAGGATGAGCTGGTCAAGAGCAACATCTACGAGTTGTCTCTGGTTCTACTGGACGCCATTAATCCCAACGGGTCAGACTTTACAAACAAACACTCCTGAGGCTGTAAACCCGGATTAACAGCCTGATCAGAGGTCACATGACACAGAAGGTGTCTGAGCTACAGGCGGCCCAAGAGGATTGTGGGAAAGGATTTCTGCAGGTGGGTTTGAGGAGGCTCAGTGATACAGAGTGACTGACTCTCACCTGTTTCTGCAGCTCGACGTCTTCAGACGGTTTCAATGAAACGGCGTCAAAAACAGGAAGCAGGACGCCGTCCGGACACGAAGAATCTGTGAAATCAAAACCAGGTTCCGAATATGTTCATTTTCATCTCGAAATTATAAAAATATAAAGATGTTAAGAAAGAAAAAAAGAATAAAGTGATGCAGGAATAAGTCATAAAACCTGGAACTGAGTTTTAGTGTAACATAAAATACGTCAGTGAATGTGAATGTGAAGCTTCAGCGTTTTATTTCTGGCATTTAACCTTCAAACCATAAAAATGGAGACTATCTTAAAATTTTGTTTTCCACAGAACTTATTTTCTGCAATAATCCAAAATCGAATGAAAAACTCTCTCTGGATTTTTGTCGAAGGAACCAGGGCGATGCTAACCTCCTTCCTGACCTTTGACCTCTGAGCCTCCTCTTACAGGGTTTCAGTTGATTAAACAGTTTGCATTAGTGTGTAAAACATTTTTTGGTGAAGCACTGTAACCTGAGATTAAACCATCTCTTTACACTCCTGCTGACAGTTTTCCCAGAATTCCCTGGGGGCGGCTCCTCTGTGCTGCAGGTCTAACTGTATCTGAGTGAGCATCGACCTGCCTTCAGAATAAAAGCTTTTAATTTGAGTAAAGGCTCCTCTGGGAGCTGCAGTTGGCTTCAGGCCCGATGCTCCTGCATTCAATACTGGTTTCTTCAGGAGTCTTGTTATAACAGATAATAACAATATAATAACAACAATATTATAATAATATAACAGGACCTTTGTTGCACATCATGAATCTTCCTGCATTTCCTGTTAAATAACAGCAAAATGCCAAAGAATAAACTTCAAAAAGACGCAAATGGTTTAGTAAGATGAGATCACACACACAAACAAGACTGTTATATTTCTACATTAAGTCCTTTCTGGTACATTTTTCTACTCTTTTGAAATTCAATAAAACACTGGCGATTCGGGGGATAAAGTACCATGTTTTTGTTTGTATGAACCTGAATTTGTGCTTGTGGTCCAGGTCTGGAAGTCCGGAGGGGCTGGGGGCTGGCAGGGGCTGGGCCAGACGGTGGCGGCGGTGGCAGCGGGCTCCTCGGGCTCGGGGGACTCGTCTCTCCTGAGCAGCAGCTGGAGCTTCTGGTGTCTGAAGAGACCCTGCATCAGGTCCAGATCCAGTCCGGACACAGCGGCCCCGTTCACAGCCAAGACCTCGTCTCCTGCCCTGAGGCCTGATGGGAAACAGTAGAATAAGTCAAACAGGGAGTCTCCCTCACACACTCAGACAGAGACACAGGGAGAGACGTGAGCGCCCCCTGCTGCAGGATGAGCAGTACTGCATCAAGGAAACATGAAGGAATCATGAAGGAAACATCAAGGAAACATGAGCAGGAATCAGAGGTCGAACCTTCTCTGGCCGACAGTCCCAGCGGGTCGACTTCACTGACGTAGACGTGGCTTCTCCCCGCTCCGTCCACGTGACCCGTCACCGCAAAACCTGCAGGGTGGAAAATAAAACAGGTTTTATATGTATTTATTATTCACACAAAAAGACACTTTAAAACATACATTCATTAATTTCACAGTTATTGTCTGAAGAGTTTACATCAGTTTGTCCTCACAAACATTTTTGCACTTAAAAACATCTTAAAACCCAACAAGGAAACTTCACATGGTTACTTCTTTCTTAAGAAAATATTCTGCGCTATAATGCTGTTTGTTGTTATGTTGTGTTCAGAAAGTCCGTACAAACGTGTCTTCTTACTGTCACAATTTCTTTAAATATGAATATGGATGCCAAATGTGCTCAAATTAAATTGTGTCCAGAAAATTGAAAAGTTTCCTGATTAGTCCCATTTTATTTTCAACTATGAAATGAATTCCCTAAAATAAAAACTTTTTCTCACCAAAGTCTTTAACAGCGTTGGTCCGACAGATGTTGAGTGTGAAAACGTCGAGGACTGAAGGCTGCAGCTCATCACTGACCTGAACAACAACAACAAGAGACACATTGATCATTCTGATGCTGATGGTTGAATATATATTTATTTAAATATTTTATATCTGAGTTATCAGAAAAACATCTCAACTAACGACTATTTGCATTATCAATTTGTCTGCAGACGTCAAAATGGAGTCCTTGAAGACCTTTAATTTATGATAATTTCTGATGAGGAAAATCCTTATTTTTAGGAAAATATTGGGCATTTATGACTTAAAAAATTAAACAGTTGCAGATTAAATTTCTTGATCGATTAATTGACATATTGTTGGAGTTCTAATCAGATACAATCTTGAATTTGTTACATTTTAAAAATAACTACTAAAAAAATTTATAGGATTTTATTCTAAAATAAATATTTTAATTATTTGATCATCGTTAATGTTATTATTGTTATTAAAGACGAGCAGTTTCAGTTCACAACGAGCAGAATGAAGATCAACATGCAGGTTTATGAGTCAGTGAATGCACCACCTGTAGAGCTGCAGGATGTCCTGCAGGGGGCGTCGTCTGCCTGTGATTAGACGCACAGTCGAGTTTCTGGAGGAATAAAAACACACACAGTTCATTACAGTCCAACTGAGTTAAATTCAACATGAAGTTCTTCAAGAAAAGACAGAAAAAAACATCTTAAATCAATCAGAAAGTAAATTTATCAATGAAGGAAAACACAGAATCAATAAAGTTGATGAGCTGCAGGTTTTAAGACAGTGTTCAATAACTGAAGCATCAAAACATAAAAACTATAAAAACAAGTCTCAGAAATCAAACTTTCTCTCCAACACTCGAACACAACAAAGACTGTATGTACCTGTGAGAAATATACTGGTTTCTGATTGGCTGAAAATCACAGATCAACCACAGAGGAGGAGAGGAAGAGAGGAGGAGAGGAAGAGAAAAGGAGGAAGAGGAGGGGGGTTAGGGTTAAAGAGAGGAGGAGGAGGAGGAGGAAATATGATGAGTGTGAAGATGAAAATGGAAAGCAATTAGAGATGAAACAGCAGCAGGACACAGAGGAGATGGACGAGAGAGGAAGACGAGGGAGGGAGGAAGGGGGTTAAAAGAGGAGCAGAAGAAGAAAGGAGGTGGTCATGTGGAAAGGAGAGAAGGTGGGGGAGTCATTTTCTGCCTCCACAGAAGGATTAATACTGAGGGACAAAGGAATTCTGGGAGAATAAAAGACTCTCAGAGCTTTTAATCCTCCTCCTCCTCCTCCTCTTCAGCAGTTTGCTATGAAGCAGCTGTCTGAATAAAGACAACCATCCTCTCCTCTTCCTCCTCCCTTTTCACATCCTCCCTTTGTTCTCCTCCTCAGGGGTTAAAGGTCGACAGGTGGCAGCAGACAATGTGACTAAATACTTGGTCCAGAAGTGTGTGGATCAACAGTTTGTTTCTGTTATAAAATAAAGTCAAAATTTTATTGTGAAAAATATATATTTCTAGTAATATTGTGATTTAATAATTATTTTTTTTACATCGTGTGAAAAGGCCAGAAGGACTTTTTTAGGGGGAATTTTGAAAAGTTAAAGTAATAATTTATGCAACCCTACAATGATAAAATGACTTCATATATGAGGTGATATATGAGGTGACGTTAGGGGCAGAAAGTCGGTCAGAGATTGAGGGTGCTGAGAGAAAGTGTGTCTATATAATGACGTCTTACTAAATGCAATGAAATTCATGGTTTTTGTATCAATTTGATATTTTGTAGCCTATTTAATAGTTATTAACAACATTTTACATACATTTTTACAACTTTTTAGCAGATAAAGATAAAACTAATTAAAAAAAACTCTATAAACACCAATGTACACATGTAAATTAATTATAGGTTTAAACATTTTTATGAAC